TAATTTTTACCTTGTCCTAGATGTGTTAAACATAAAAGGATAAATTTCATAAATACAAGCTAACCCAAAATTAAATACACTTTAGACCACATTCCATACGACGAAAAGCAACATAAGTTGCCTAAGGCACAGGTCATTATATTAATCATGACTATAAAACCATCATTGATTTGACATCTTTTATACCCTAAATTAATAAATAAAAAGTTTTTAAATCCCAACACCTAGATTGTTGTTATTTTTAAAATCATCAAAACTTGTTGAATCTTTTGGCTGTAGTAATACTATGTACAACTTTTATAGTTTTTGTTGCATTGACATTCTGTTATCTTCATCCTTCAAAAGTATCTTGTCAATCAGTTCCACGTTGTTCTCCGAGTGCAGAGGTTGTCTCTCACCCGGCTCTGGAACCCAATTGAGCCATGTGTTACCTTTGGTCAAATTTAATTTAATATAGAACATCACAGTTATTTTATAACACAATGTACAACATTTCATAACTAAATGTAATTTAAAGGGTTTTTACCCTAATATTTTGGTGGCTCAGGCATTATGACCTAGTAAGTATAACCATCTTTTGCTTTTCAACCATAGTCAAAATTTCAAAATCTCGTTTGTTTTAACTAAATGGTTTATACTTATTTTTAGGCATTTTCGATTTTAATAACCTGATGATGGACTGTGTAGTCCGAAAACGTTTGTTTTATTGATGTGGCCCTTTTAAGGGTTTTTTAAATAAATATACCCATTTACAAAGATTAACCTCTTTTTGTTATACGTGGTATACAGCCAGCTACAGGAATTTTTCCTTGTGGATTTCATCTAACTGTTTCTTGAAATCCAAAATTCCAATCTTAGTTTGGGCAACCATATAGACCACCCATGCATTAACTAATGATGTACCCAAAATTAATTCAAACATGACTTTTCTACAATAAATTAGCAATGTAAAATGCTGAACAAACTATGTAACTTACCTATACCACTTCAGAGATTTTCTAACTGATGTATGGTAAGAAGACCTTTGATTGCTAAAATATACCCCCTTTTTAGCATTGTTATAGTCGATGACGCACTGTGGTTTCGAAATTTCATCACCTTGTCTATTATGTTTTCCTAAAATATTAAAAATTGTAAGGTACTTACTATCAATAAAATATGTTGCTTACCAGTAGCAGTTAATGGCGCATTATGACTAGGATCACTGGATATCATTAAGAATGGTCGTTTATCAAACCATTTTATTATTTTTACACCATTACATTCTTGCCAATAACCTGTCACTTTTTTAGCTTTTGACATATTTCTTTTGGTATTCATCTTCTATTGCTCCTCAACATTCCACAATAAATAATTTTTTCCTTATATATCTTCGACTAGCAGTATGCTTGAGTAAAAATTATCTCCATAAATGATCCTCCCCTCTTTTGGCTCAACTATTTTCAAAAGTTCTTTTACTATTGCATGCCAATGACCTTGTGGTGCAGTTGTATCTCCATTTCCAGCATACACATTTATATTAAAAGTATATCCATTTGGAGAACATAGTTTATATAGTTTGACTCCATATTTATGACATTTGTTAGGGATGTATTGCCTAAAATGTAGTCTACCCCTGAAAGGCACCATTGTCTTATCAATAGTTAGTACCCTTCCAGACTTTAGAATATTATTATATTCTTTTACTAAAATGTTTAATATGTTTCGAATTTTGCTTAGTCTATCACCAGGTCGTGCATCCTCATTATTGGCAAAATGTATGAATCTTAAAAGTAGTAAGAATCTGTCACAACGCATTGTTGAGGCTATAAACTTGTTATGGAACATTTTATTTTTAGACGACATCAAGGAAGAACAAAGTGAGAGTACAACGAAATATCGATGAAGAAGAGGATGTTCTAGGTACCTCCTTTTGTCTGGAGGAGATGAGAGGTGCGATCCACCAAATTTCTTCTTAGGGTGCCTGTCCGTTCCGAACGTTGGCGATCATTCCGGCTATGATGACTTTGTTGATTGCTATACGGAGTAGCTGTGTTGAGGTCTTTCTATACTATGCTCTCAGCTTAACAAGCCAGTATATTCTTCTTCGTCCTGGGGCCCTTTTTCTTTCAATTTTACCTTACAAAATGCATTGGAGTAGCTCGTATCATCTGCCTTGATTTCTCATTATATGTCCCAAGTACTGCAGCTTACGACCCTTCACGATGTTGACCAAATCCGCGGTTGTATTCATCCTACGCAGTACTTCTTCATTTGTGACTTTATCTGTCCATGGTGTCTATCCAGCAAAGCGGCTGGCCTAGACGATATACAAATAGAACAAATAAAGCACTTTGGACCAAAAACCCTAGAGTGGCTCTTAAAAATGATGAACTGTTGCGTCCGCACATTCCAAAAATCCCCAAAATCTGAAGGAAAGCTAGAGTGTTGGCCTCTGAAAACCAGAAGAGATCCGGCGGACTGCTGCAGTCAAACTCTTAATCTCACCCAACACATTGAAGATGGGCTTGAACGGAAAGAAATAACAGGAGTAGCGTTCATAGACATGACTGCCGCCTATGACACAGTTAACCATCAACGGCTGCTGGTAAAATTACGAAACTACAAAGGTTTTCCGACTAACAAGGTTAATGAAATGTGTTCTCCAGAATAGAGTCTTCTACATACTGCTTCAGTCCAAGAACAGTCGGTGTGGGGATAAAAAAATGGACTCCCACAGGGAAGTGTCCTCGTGCCGATGCTTACAACATTTACACCAACGACCAACCAAAAAACCAACAAACAAGACAGTTTATTTACGCGAATGATACAGCTCAGAGAAGTACCTTCAAGGAAGCTGGTGTAAAACTGCCAGATGCCCTAGAAAACTTAGCACTATACTATGACGAAAATCATCTGAAATCCAATCTTACAAAAAGCCAGATTGTGTGATTTTCACCTTAGAAACAAGCATGCTTGAAAGACACTGTAGGTGGAATGGCGTGGTCAGATGCTGGATAACAATGAGACGCCAAAATAACTCAGCGTACATCTGGATAGAACTCTGTCTTATCGATATCACAGTCAAGATGCCAAGAAAAAAATAGGCGCCAGAAATAATATCATCTGCATACTAACAAATACAAAATGGGGAACACAACCACACACTCTCCCTACTTCTGCCTTAGCATTATGATTTTCTGCCGCCGAGTTTGGAGCACCAGTGTGGAAAAACTCTGATCACGCTAAAAACATCGATGTTGAGTTTTAATGAAACGGTTTGTATAATATCTGGTTGCCTGAAACCGACACCTATCGAAGTGGGAGTTGGAATCGCTCCACCTGCTATCAGAAGACAGGTCACATCAGAGATAGAACGAAAGAAGCAGGAGACGGATCGAAGACACACCTTGTACCACCCTAAGTAGACTAAGATTTCGGAAAAGCTTTGTAAAAAAATCACGATTCATTCCTGAAGAGCCGAAGACGCATCGAATACACCTATACACAATTTGCTGTATCCCACATGGAAAGCGCTAAACAGACTAATAACTGGCATTTCACGTTGTGCTAGCAACCTGAAGAAATGGGGATACCAGGAGGACGATACCTGCGACTGTGGCGCGGTTCAGAATAGCCACCATCTACTATCATGCATAGAGATGAGAGAGGCCTGCACAGAAGAAGACCTATTTTTAGCGAATGATTGGAAATATGAAATTCAAACCTGCGCAATTTGAAAGAAAATTAATTATGATGCAATTGTCGAACATGTCAATAAAGTTGCCAGATTGATCACTGATCCATGCTGGATGCGTAACCTTTTAGAATAATGAGCCCTTTCCCCTTTCAGTGATAATCAGGATAGAAATAACAATGTTAGTATTGTTGTTTTTTTCTCATGAAACAAATAGGAATCGACCTTACTTTTACTGTATCTTCTTTAGTTCATATACTAGAGAGTTCTACAAAGTTTCATTTTAATGCTTTGTTAAATACTTTAAATAATATTTTACGAATATTTGCAGTAAAATTGACCGTTTTCCTGTTATCGTGTATCCTGAAATTGTCATCATCAATGAGTTACAACTCAATTTGTGTTAGGCTTACAGCAAAAATAAAATAAGCAATCTCTTTGATTTTTTATAACCTACATTTTATCCAAACAGTTTTTTCCATAAAATGTAAAGATTTTAAGTTTTTCATGAAAAATCGATTTAAAACGTAAGAAAAATTGACGAATTACAAATGTGTCTAAAAGTATTCATTTTTCGAAAAAAAAACTAAGCATTTAAAAAAACTATGTTTCTAAGCATTTGTGCTTCGAACATATTTTTCTCTTTCTTAGAATATATTCTTGAGGTTATGTTCAATATATAAAGGTTCCAATCCTCCAGTTGGAATGGATCCATCCCCAAGGTAAAAGCACAATTCATCATAGAGTAGATTTTGATTGTTAAGGTACTAGTTACTTCAAATTTCAAGGAAAAAAAACCTTTATAGACTACACTAATACTTGGGAGTAATTTTCTAAAATTATAAAAAAAAAATTTTCCTTCCATAGCTGGAATAACCAATTATGTGAAATTATTACATCAATTCGCTTAGAAATACGTGTGGTATTTTAACATTTTAAACAGAATTTCTTTCCTGAATTTGAAATTAAAAGGTTAAAAAAATTGAGGGAAAATGACTGAAAATTGCGGTTTTTTAATTGTTGATATTTTGCAACAAGGATAGACGTATCTTAAAGTCCTTACAATATTTTATGCAAACTTTAATCTAAGAACTTTTTATCTTTATCTGCGATCTGTAATTTTCAAGTTATAAATGGAAATATCATAACTGTTTTTTACTGTAATGTTTACATTCTGATTTTCCACTTATCTAAAAATTTTCATAAGATGATTTATTTCTATTTACAGATTGGACAATTTAGCAGTATACTTAATTGATTTTTTTAGAATCAAAATTTGTTTCAATAATTAGATTTTTTAAAATTTATATAACCTCTATTTCAGATTCAAAATGGTGGTAGGGGAAGGAATAAACAACATAATGGGGGGAATAGAAAACACAGGGACTGTAAAACAACACAATCACAAAAAGAAACTTCGGCAAAGGTAAACATATTTAATATTTAAATAAATTGGGCTGCCATATGAATGACCCATTTGTTTGGTGAAATATTAAATTTATTTTTGTAAGTTTGGTAAAGATAATTTAGTTGACTAATGTGGTTTTAGGTTTGATATAATAAAGAAACTAGGTCAAGGAACTTTTGGTAAAGTGCAGCTAGGTATAAATAAAGAGACTGGCCAAGAGGTTGCTATTAAAACCATAAAAAAATCAAAAATAGAATCAGAAGCTGACTTAGTTAGAATTAGAAGAGAGATTCAAATTATGTCTTCAGTACAACATCCTAATATAATTCACATATATGAAGGTAGGTCTGATATACTAAGGTGGATTGATATAAAACTAGCGTTTTATAGAAAAAAAAACGGGTGTGGCAGTCCAGTGGGACTGCCGGTAGAAGTTATACTTCTATACACGCGTTCGCCGTTACAAATTTATATGGGGGTCAATCTGCACAATCATTACATATTTAATGCTATGGGTAAGAGAGAGCAGAAAGAGAAAAATAATTGGGTATATAAGTAGTTTTTTACACATACTCTGCAGTAAAATTCATTGTTTATTTTGTTATTAATATAAAAATTACAATACAATACACTGCAACATAATTCAATATAATAATACAATACAAATTAAAATGCAATATTCATAAGTATTTAAAACTGCCAATATACATAACTTACTTTGCGAAGATAAAAATAAAAACCAACAACTCGGATTATGTTGTAAATTTTCATTTTATTTACGCCGACCATGCGTATAGAAGTATAATTTCAAAAACAAGTTTTTTGGAATTAAATCGATTTATTTCTGAACATAGTACCCTTTTAGCTCGATAGACTTAGTAAGACGATGTTCCATTTTTTTATCCCATCTGAATAGTACTTTTGCTCGAACTCTCGAGGAAAAAATCGCTGGCGGCAAGATCTGGGGAATGCGGTGGGTGTTCAACCAATTCATAGCCCAATTCGTGTAATTTTGCCATGGCAACGGCCGATCGGTGAGCTGGTGCATTGTCTTGGCGAAAGAGTACACCGCGCACAACAATTGAGTTGTTATCAACAGGTCCTCGAAGACACTTCGTCTCAGGACCATTTTACCTATGTAGGGTCATACGTCGCCATGTTACCAATTCCAACGGTAACTTAAACATCCTAATTTGTAACTATACATAATGTAAAACAACTGTAAATTTATAACATTTAAAGGGTTTTAACCCATATATTTTGGTGGCTCATAGCATGTATACCTCGTTTACACTGATGATGGATTTAACAATCCGAAAACGTTCTGTAATGTAATTGTGATAGCCCGTTTGGGCATTTTATTATATACCTTTTATAAAGGATTTGAAATAAATTTTTTGTGATATATGGTTTACAGCCAGCCACAGGAACTTAGTTTCCAGTTGATTTTTATAATATACACTGTACTATATAACAATATTTATATAATAGACTAAATTTCAAAATATTGTCGATGCGAATACTAAATTGGTACCCATGCAACTATTCTTTGTTTCAAGTTAAGAAAATAACATTACGCTTATGGAGATCAGTGTTGCCAAAATTCTCAGACACTCACTTTTGCACGGATGTCCAATTTTTGAATTTTCATTTTCAATTAACATTTAACTGTAAAGTCAGAATAACTACTAAATAAAAGCCTTATTATCATTATGTAGTCAGAGAACGACATAAAATCGCTGACATACGCAAATCGTATTATTTTAAGTTGCAATTAGTAATTAGATATACGCATTCCAAGTCCGTTTATTTGCTTTTAAAACTTCAATAGGCGGCAAAATGCATGATTTAACTAAGCAATATTTTCTACTGATTTCTATGATTCATGGCTCACCGAAAATAATAAACTGTCGTTACTATAATTAAAATAAGATAAAATAAAATTATCTTTTGTAAATACTATTTATCTAATTAAAATCATTTTCCCTATTTTTCATCTCTTGTTTCGAATGGGCACTTTTGGTCAATTACGTTAAAAAACATTAATTTAATTCATGTCTGTGGAAACGAAAATACAAATTATACAACCCTAAATTGTGCTTGTGTGTGTCGTGGCAACGCCGCGTTTCTATCGCCCATAAGAAATACATGGCCCTATCTCCGCAATGTTATTTTCTTAACGTGGAACGTAGAATAGTGGCCCGTGGGTGAAGACGGATAATAAATTTTTTAACGGAACTGCACTAGTTATTTTTCTCAACTATCACTAGCGACAGGCTGACGTCACGTTGCCATGGCAACCGTGAACGCTTATGCAGATGGATTTCGCATTTCAAAAATGATATTCACCTATTCCTGAATCTAAATCATGATACAAAGAAAAGAGGCGTTTCGTTGTACCATGAATCTGGTCATACACAGCAAGTGACACAGGTCAGGACTTGACCGTCAAGTACCTACCGCACCGCTAATAAAGCTAGCTGTCTTTTTGTAATTTTTAGATTAATTAAAAGAGATTAAATAATTGATTTCAGAATTTAGATATAATAATGTTGCTTTTATTTTTTATTTATTTATCTCAATTTAATTATATTTTTTTGGTGAATCTCACCTTCACCTGGCCGGCCGCCGCTGTCACAATGTACTATTAAAAAAATATTTCTTTCTGTGAATATTGATTTTTTGGGGCCTACCTAAAGTGAAGCATTTTTTATGTGGCCCAAGTTAGCTTTTGAGTTTCACATACCTGGTTTACAATTTTAATTTATCGCCAACGCCATAAATATATGAAACATTCTTTTTAGAACCTGATCCGATAACAAAATATTAACAAAATCTCCAAGTTCTTATTAGTTATAATTTCCCCAACATTTTAAAATTTCCGTTGGTTCGCCTCGTAACCATTGGTTTATAAAATTTATATTTTTACGATTTATTCTCACGGTGTTACGAATACAAAGTTAAGGCTCAAAACCCCTTTTTTATATCAGGTTCTAAAATTAAAGTATTGAACACATTTTTCAGCCTTTCCTGTTTTATATTTTCCCAACTGGTTATATCCTAGATAAATGTAGTCATAACTCAAAAGGCAATGTTCGTATCTACTCAATAAAACATACAATCAAACAGCTACTGGCTATTTTACGCTTTAAAAATAAATTAGTTCACTGACCTAAGAAAAAAACTAGTGGGTAGGTCTAAGTGTTAAGTCTATTAGAGAACTACAAAGTATGTTTAACTTGTTAAATCGAATTAATCTATAAGTCTCCAACTGAATCACTGAAATATATTTAACATGCAATTATTAAGATTGTCCTTATTTACCAAGATAAAAAGATAATTATGAGAGCATATACTGTTTAATTGTATGCTCAGATAATTAATAAATAAAAAAATACAAACATTTCATTTAAAATATATGCTACTTGGCTTGACTCTTATCTTCTTTACAATATTTTGGCAAATTATTTTGTTGGCAGTGATTTAAGTTGAGATGGTAGATAAAGAAACAGATGAGGTGTTGATTATCACTCATTTTGAAAGTCGTTAATATTTAATTTCAATAAATAGAGTAGTGCAGTTCCGCTTTTGATCAATATAACAGTCGTTTATTATAAGAATTACCAAAATGTTTGACTGTATATTCTTTTTTTTTTTAATTTCTTATATACCAAAGTTACAGCGCTGGCGCTTAAATTTATTTTTAAAAAGACACCTGTACTAGAACAACAGCTGCTACATTGTCATATAGGTATGAGCCACATCTCAATGAACTTGGCTCAAGTAAGGACATTTTAGTTTTTTAAAGAAATATATCATGTTTAGGAAATTTTATTATGACGAATATAATTTTATACTACTTTATACATTCTTGTATCACTTTTTAGTTACTTCATTTTAATCATTCTACAAATGAATGGACAATATTATTTGCTAATCCCATATTATAGTGCATTTATCCCAATGTAACCGGCAAAATACCTTAAAGCAGGGGCGTATCGTGAAAAATTATTACGGAGTAAAATAAATTCTAATACAAATTTATGACGCGAGGAGTATAAGTATAATAAATAAATAAAAAGCTATTGTAGATCATACAAAAAATGTAAACATACAATAATTCATGTCACAAATTGATATGGCTACAAAAAATCGGCACAATTTAAAGAACGCTAAAAAATCTGAAGGTAACCAAAGATAAAAATATATCCAGGACGTTCAACTACACTTGATTTTTTCATATAAATATCATTTACTATAAATTACTGTTCACATTTTGGGTGAATATCGCCAAATACTATTTATCAAAGATTTATATACAGAGTGGTGAATCGTCAAACGGGCCATAGGAAACACAATGGGAAATTCTAAATTGTTGAATTCCTGATTTATTGTTTAAAAACAATAAGGTTGATTAACCCATTTAGACCCACTTGTAGAAAACAATAAAACCAATAATTTTTTATGAAATATATATTTAATTAAACAAAAATAAAGATAATTTAAAATCTACATGAAGAAAAAAAAACTACACTACAACATTGGGACTATACGTATAACATAAATATGTTTTTATTTTCACTTGTGGTAGTCTTTCAACGCCTTCTCCAGTTTTCATTATTGCGTTCAATCATGTGGCCCACATTCAAACGTGAGGTAAATGTAAAGATGAACTGGAGCCACGACCTCTAACAGATTTTGTGCTACTTTTGATAACACTAACACTTATGGTTTCGCATAAGTTCTGATCTAAAATCTAACTGCGAAATTTGGTTTTTCTCATGTACAATTCTGAGATTTCAGGTATTTATGACGGAAGAGTGTAACATGTTTATAAATAACGGCCCAACCATTTTTTCCCACGTTTATTAATTCTATATTTAGCCACTCCATTGTTATGTAAGTCCACCGCCCCCTGTATTTATTATATTTAGCTATCATGTTGGATTGTGGGATAGCGATATCTTTTCTTACCTTGCGATTGTATCGTTTTACGGGAAGAACAGACTCTACTGGTATTTTATAACTTTATTAATTAATGTTGTTAATTGTTATGTCATTGCAAAAAAGCTTACCTGAAATACATTTCAACCAAAACACAAGAAGCATACCATAATTACAAGACAATTAGAAACGAAACATGTGCACTTGTAAGAAAACTGACAAACTTCTGCCCCATAAATCATGCTAGTTTCTACCACGGTTCGATAGATGGTCATTTTGGTTTCTTGTCTGTTATCTTTAGACCATAGTAAACAGTTTAAACTGCTTATCGCTTTTTTGTTCTGCTGAGTTCTATTCCCTATCTCTCCTTGTAATTCCTTCTTTGGATATAATACACCCGAGATATTTGTACATATTTTACTCTTTACTCTTACATATTTACTCTTTACATATTTTAATACCTCTCATTTGTAACTCCGAATCTTCCTCATCATTCCTTCCCTATTTTTAGATATTCTGTCTTTAATATATTTCTTTTTAAAGCACCACTCTTCGTATTCTCTCTTAGTCATCACTCGTGACGACTATTTGATCATCAGCGGAAAACATTAAGATGGCTTCAATTGTTGCTTCCTTTTCGTCAGGAAAGATTGTTTTCACGTTCAGAGCTTCTGTACCAGTCGCTCTGATGATTCCTGGTTGGATGAAATACGTATAAGTGAATATACAGATCCACTATACGTGAAATCAAATCTTAACTGTCTTTCCTTGAACAAATTTACTTTGCTACGCTAAGTAATGGAAATAAACAATCTTATTTTGATGTAATCTTAATTGAAACAAATGAAATTTAAGGACTTTCATATCTAGTATTCCTTCCTCTGAATTCTGTTACAATGGTTTGCAACTGACGAGGCCAGCTTTGAATCAGATTTTGAGTCACATTCTGCAGAATACTGTTTCATCCCTGTACCATCATGTCACGAATCTATCTAGATGTCTCTGGTAAATATGTTCAATAGGATTTAAATCTGGACTGCAAGCAGGCCAAAGAAATCGCGTAACTTGATTTCTGCACTGGTATGTAGCGAACCTCATTAGAATTTCTGGGAAACAGCACATGTCTCCGTAAACGACTTTCCCCCTCATTACAAATATTTCATTTGGGGTTTAAATTTGAGGGTCTATTTGAGGCCCTAAGTAACTTAGTTCACGAAGATAATCCAGCAGCATGTTGTAAGCACCTAACTTCTTACAGATGATTTCGAAGAGAAACTGCTACGATCATTCGGTTTCTTAAAGCATTAGAAACAAGAAATAGGCGAGCTCTAGCTTTTGTAGTCCTGCCTCGCTCTGAACCAGGTTTTCGAGTGTGGAGACCAAAAATTAATAAATATCTGTTAACCCTACTTGAGGAATGGAAATCCCCGTTCTTTTGTACCTCTTTATATTTAGTTCTTTTGGTTCTTTCAGACCCATTTTCTTAAAGGGCCGCAGGCACCCATCATAGGAATTTCCTAGTACTCGTAAATGATTATAATACCCTAATAAAGGGCAATATAATTCGACTATTCTTAAGAAATATAAACAGGGTACAAATTCCTTAATGGTAAAATCCATAAAATTTATTTCTCGAGCTTTTAAGATCATTGTTTTGTATAAAACTTAAGAGATCGCTGGTTAAATGATATTATATTATAAATAATAATGAAGAAACAATGCAATATTTTGTTTGTAAATAAATTAGCGGAAAATAGCAAATACAATTGTGAATAAATTACGAAATTAACTGGTCTTACTCATTATTGTTGTCTGTACAAAGAACATAGACTTACCCTTTGAGATATTGAAGTCGTATTATTAGCCAGGGAAATCTCGCTGGCACCACGTCGGGACGCCCGGGTACTCCGAGGCTGTATAGCACGAGAACCGATAAAACTGGTCCGTTTTGCTCGCTGTCTTGTGATGAAGTCCTTGTCTTGAGATTTCAGGTCAGAAAAGAACCCTCTGGCCACACTTCGAAGCGGTTGGTAGGAAGAGGGTATACCAATAAATCACTCTATTGTATTGTGATTTTGAATGCGATAATTTAAGCTAATTGTCACGGTAATACGAAACTTTACACTTGTGTGTATTGGCGACACAAAATAACAAAAGAAGTCAAATTCTCCGTACTTAAAACGTAATAAATGAGATAGCCAGTTTAACAATTTTACTAAATAACAGGAAACAATATATTTTAACAAAGTCGTTAGAATACAGCATTGAATTAGATCACATTATATTACACTGAAAGAAAAATATTAAATGTAAAAGTATGAAAAGAAATAGTACATACTTTCCCAAACAATCTTGTTTTAACATTTAGTTTAATTTTATTAGCATTGTTTTGTAACTAATGAGTATGAGATTTAGAAATCTTTTTTATTACAATGCGATCAATTTTGACATCTCCACAAATACATATTTCTAAGCTGTGAATAAAATGTGAATCTGAATTTTTTAAAAATAAATTAGAAAGTATGTAATTGTAAAGTAATCGTTAATTTCCGATTATTTTAAAAAATAAAAAGTTTACTATACACTGTGCAAGTATCCAAAAAAGTATTCACCTATTCTTAAAAAAGATGTCATTGTTTTCATTTATGTTTCTGATAAATTGAAATTACAATTAATTAAAATTATATTTAATATGTAAATAAACAACGTAAAATGCAGATCAGTTGTATTAATTTTTGTATATTTTCTCTTAAACGACCACTCCCTTTAACGACCAGCTTTTGATTCCACGAGGGTGGTCGCATTGAAAGGTTTTACCTTTGTTATATTACTTCTTTTAGTTTAGGATTTACTTACGAATTGAGATAATTAGAATTATGTGCAATTATATAGCAACTTGCTCTTAACCCATTTAAGTATAACCCATTGTTATATGTACTTAAAAGAACGCGCTAGTCTCTATAATTAACGAAGGGATATTATCAAAGCATAAAACCAGTACCACTATTAAGTTTTAATTCCTAATAAGAAAAAAGTTGGATTTATAAATTTTGTTAAAATTTTTTCCCCTCTATTTAATGTCGATCTTTTGTTGTTTTAGTCTTTGAAAATAGGGAGAAAATGGTTCTAGTCATGGAATATGCCGCTGGCGGTGAATTATACGATTATTTATCGGACCGTAAGGTGCTAGATGAAGACGAAGCCAGAAGAATATTTAGACAAATAGCGACTGCTTGTTACTACTGCCACAAACACAAGATTTGTCATCGAGATCTCAAGTTGGAAAACATTTTACTCGACGAAAACAATAATGCCAAGGTAAGGCAAAAATAAGTTATAACATAGTTGCACGCTGATCCAAATTCGTAGGGACTACTACTTTAGTAAAATTGATTCATGTAATTTTGACATTAACTAAAAGTAACTATACAACCGTGCGTGGGTATTGCCACTTGATATATACAGTGTGTAAAAGCCAAATGGAATAAATTCATTATTTAGGTTACTGTACATATTTATAAAAAATCCCGAAACACGTCAAATTTAAATTATAACTTGACATTCTTTAACGTGAAAATGCAACCCCTACCTTCAACCCCCTTAGAATGACAGGTACAACCCCAATTTTTAAAATAGGAAGTATAGGCTTGTGATATATCGTTTGAAAGGTCTTTTCATTCTCCATTCAAAAATGTTGTCGCTTTCAAGTTTATTAAGATTAATTAAGATAAAATAAATTAAAATCATGTGGTTACCGAAATTCGCTAAAATATACTCAAAACTTATTTCCCGTTTAGGTCTTGATAATGAGAAAGTGAACAAAAACCATAGCAATGTGGTTTTTAGATGGTAACCATTAAAAAACTTTAAAGAATTTCCGTGGCAACGTTATTTTAACACGCATTAGTAAATTGTTTTATTTAAGTTGTCAGTATTTTAATTTAAGTAAAAAGTTCGTTCAATTCAATTCTGAAAAATGGTTAGATTAACGGAAATGCATAAAATAACAGTTTTACAAATGATTGGTTACGGAGATAACACCCGAACACAACAGGAAGTAACTCGCCTATTTCATGAGAAATTTCCTAATTTACCGCCTATATCCCAAGGAACAATAAGTAAAATAGAGAAGCAGTTTCGCGAGTTTGGTCATGTAAGGCAGATAAAAAAAGCAGCTGCCAATGCACTGAGTGATGAACTCAAATTAGATGTGTTGCTTGAGTTTCAGGAAAATCCACATACATCGAGTAGACAGGCATCCACTACATTCAATGCTAGCCATACATCGATAGTAAACATATTAAAAGAAAATAAATTGCATCCCTATAAGATGATACCTACTCAGGAGCTCATGGAAGACGATTTTGATAGGAGAACTTTTTTTGTGAGCAAATGATGGACATGTTGGATAACAATATTATCCAATTAGAAGACGTTATGTTTTCTGATGAGTGTACTTTTTCACTTAACGGTCATGCTAATCGGCAAAATTGCCGCTACTGGGCCACGGAAAATCCTCACTGGATGAGAGAAGAACACACTCAATACCCTCAAAAGGTTAATGTTTGGGCAGGGATTGTAGGAAACAATATCATTGGTCCCTTTTTCATTGAGGGCAACTTGAATGGCAACAATTATTTGGCACTACTTCAAAATGATGTCATTCCAACGTTGGCAAATTTATATCCTGATCCAGGAAACCCTCAAGTTCCAGCGAATACGATATGGTTTCAGCAGGATGGAGCACCACCACATTACCAACTTAATGTCCGGCAGTACCTCGATACAATATTTCCCAATCGGTGGATAGGGAGGCGAGGATCGATTGAATGGCCAGCGCGATCACCTGATCTTACATTATTAGATTTCTTTTTATGGGGATATGTGAAGAGCCATGTGTACAAAACTAAACCTTCTGATTTAAATGACTTAAAAGAACGAATAACGCTTGCGATTAGGTCGATCACGCCTGTTATGTTAAATAATGTTAGAAGACAGTTTTATTTGAGATTAGGATGTTGCCAAGACGTTCGCGGTGAACATTTTGAACATCTACTTCATTAACATTCATAGTTCTTTTTCGTGTTCTACATTTTATTACGTTTTGCATTACATTTTAGTTTTTGATTGTATTGTAGCGAATTTCGGTAACCACATGATTTTAATTTATTTTATCTTAATTAATCTTAATAAACTTGAAAGCGACAACATTTTTGAATGGAGAATGAAAAGACCTTTCAAACGATATATCACAAGCCTATACTTCCTATTTTAAAAATTGGGGGTTGTACCTGTCATTCTAAGGGGGTTGAAGGTAGGGGTTGCATTTTCACGTTAAAGAATGTCAAGTTATAATTTAAATTTGACGTGTTTCGGGATTTTTTATAAATATGTACAGTAACCTAAATAATGAATTTATTCCATTTGGCTTTTACACACTGTATACAGTGCTCAACCATTGATAAGGATCAAAGTAATATTTTACGCCAGAAATAGTCAGAGTTTGTAAAGATTTAATATAATTAAAATAATATTAATACCTCGACTTATCAATGTTATCAATTTTAAAGGAAATAAAATAAATTTTGATATTGTGACCATCAGTTTTTTTTCTTTTTTTACTATCGTCACCAAAAAGTTGAATATTAAAGTCGTATATTTTCATTTGCTATTAACACAGTTTGGGTTCACTTGTTTTACTATGTACTATAAGACGTTTAGATATTGTCCAAATTCAACAGATTGTGAGGCGGATCAACGAAGGGTTAACTCAATGTGAAGTGGCTCAACGTTTGGAGTTTTCGCAAAGTGTTGTAAATAGAGCTTGGAATCGTTATGTTACAAATGGTATACCCTCATATGGTTATGGTGGAGGGCCGCAACGGAGTACCAACCCCCTTGATGACCGATATATGCGAATTTTTGCTAGACAGAACAACGTATACTGCGTCTCGCATAAACAGTATTGCGTAACGCCACTGGAAGAATCATTTTAAACCAAACCATTAGAAGGCTGCATATTAATGGCTTAAGAACAAGAAGACGTTTATTTCATGCTAACTAGACAATCAACCAATGGATAAACGATTTATTTGCAGATGAGACTGATTTCGTATAAACAATTCCGATGGTCGTATTTTGGTTTGGAGGAAACGAGGAGAGAGGTATACTGAACATTATAAGGTACCTAAACTGCTTTTGCGGGAGACTTTGCATTTGGGTGGTATTTGTTTTGATGGCCTCTTGATTGACTTAGTGGTTCTGACAAATGCTGCGATGATGGTTCAAAGATATAGAGATATGGTTGTAGAACTAATTATTGTACCATTTGTGGGTGCAATCGAAGAAAGTTTTGTCCATATTGACGACACTGCCCATCTCCACAGTGCAATAATTGTGAACGAAAGATTACAGCATAACGGTATTGACAGAATGGAGTGGCCAGGCATCACCCGATATCTACTACATAGAACATCTTTGGATCAATATTTTTTAAATGCAGTAAGTTTAATTCGTTCGCGAGGAGGTCCAACAAACTATTAAAATTTTTTATTTAAGGTTTTTAGGCCAATTATCTCTTTTTTTTTGGATTTTGAAGAACACAATTTTATGTTACTTTATTTTAATAATTTTTTTTCTTGTTGAAATATTTAATTTTTGTGAAAAAGACAGCAAATATTTGATTTCACGCAAACAGCGCCATTGTATCTGTTGATACGTATTTCGACCTAATAGGTCTCATCAGAACAGTTATTCAAAGGTGTTCTCAACGTGAAAGATCAATATTTTCTGTCTTTTAAGAAGCAACACTAAAATGGCTTCAATACGGACGCAATAGCGACATCTGATAATAAAACCGTAAAATTAGTTTCGAAACACAATTCAGATTTCTTCTTTAATCTGTGCTTTCTAAAAATTGCAAAGCAAAACAGACGTTGATGAAGGTGTTAAAAGAGACTTGGGGAATCTAAAATTTGCATTCCACGACACGTCTTTTCAACTAAGCAGAAATCCTTAGCGAATTGGTTTTTGGTACTCGTACAGAGCAGATCCGAAAAAAGTGAAAAAGACAGCAAATATTTGATTTCACGCAAACAGCACCTTTGTATCTGTTGAAAAAACACAGTTTGATTCGTACACCCGGTATACAATGAAAATTTACCTGTTTAGCAATAATATTATTATAAAGATATTGTCAAGGAATAAGGCTATAACATATTTAAAAATCACTTAAATCGGACAACATGTTTAGGAGATATAAGAAATCAAAAATTACCCATTTTTAAGGTAGCCGGTTAATTTTGGCCCAGAGTGTATTTATATTTTAAAAAATATATATATTTTGTAACTATAACCAAAGACTATGACAAAAATTTAAAAGTAAAGAAATACCAGTCATAAAATCGAAGTGCAAAATGTCAAGGGAAGCGATATCAAGTTTTTAAAATATACCTCTATCTTCAGCTAAACATATTTCAATGCATTTCGTGAAAATTTTAAATCCTGCAGCGAAATTCCCAACGACACAATTTTTTTTTCTCAACTACAAGGTTATTGACACTGAGCCAATTCTGTTACAATCAATTTTACATTATGTTATCATTTAATTTTACGCTTGTAAGAATATATTAAACTGTTAATTAGACCACACGCTTAAAAAATAATTGGCAAATACCAATCTGGCTTTTGCAGGCGGAAGTCGACAATAGACCAGATATTCGTCTATGACATATTCCCAAAGCGTGTTCGGCAACGGCAGACCTGTCGGTATGTCCTAAACGACAATAGCTTTTATGTTCGGATGATGGAGAACGTCGGATACTGTTTGGAGAAACGCAAATGCTGGATAAAACATCACAGTACTACCGACGGTTATATCGGGAAGCGGTGGAAATATATGAGCATCCAAATAATTTTAATCGGATAGAAGAAGGACTAAGAATTAATAAAACATGGATACCGATATTAAAATCCACAAACACTCTTCCCACAAATCACGAAAAAGAAAAAAGTACAAACGACGACACGAACCCTCACGACGAAACCAGTGGAGGGGAGGGGAGTAGAAAATATAAATATGACCTCCGTAGTACAACCAGAGAACTACGAACGCAGAGAAGCGACACTCCTTTGATCTTGCGTGGGCAAGCCGCCAACGAGTGAAAATGACAGGAAAGCACCTTATTTACTAATAGTCAGTGGGCATATTACACAATATAAATTCTTAAATAAAATTGAGCATTTATGTTGACTTTCAATAAATATGAAATATTGCACTGAAAAAATAATTACATGCAGGGCCGGCTTTTGTTGACATT